AAAAAAAAATATATTTACATATATATATATATATATATATATATATATATATATAATCTTTTTTCATGGACATAAACATACACAAATTGTAGGTTAACTAAGTTTTTAGTCTTCAAACTATTTTAAAATTCAATTTTTAGTTCTTAGATAAAAGTTTGACTGGTTTAGATTCTTTAACTCTTTTCCATTAAGATTTTTAGTTCCTGAAAAAAAAAATTGATTGGTCAAATTTTTGTTTCGAGACTAAAATCCTTGAAAGAAAAAGTTAATGAATCTTGATCGATCGGTAATATTTGATTCGGTAACTAAAACTAAATCTATAGAAGAAAAAGAATTCATTAAATAAAAATTGGAACTTACGTGGTGTTATGACTTTTAATAAATTTTTAGTCAATAAGAAAAACATTTGAACATGTTAAGAATTGATATATACATATATATAAAGGCATACACCAATAATGACTTACACGCATCATCACTTGAAAAAAAAATATAGGCTAAAATTGAACATGGCACCTCAAACTTCCAAATCCAAGGCCTATATTGTTGTTTTGCTAGCCTCCCTAATCCTCCCCTTGGTTCTCCCAGAATGTTATTCTTCTGTGGTGGTTGCAAGTGCAGCAACCAAACCAAAATTCTCAGATGTTGATCTGTTGGAATTTCCTCTAAATTTAGAATACTTGGAGGCTGAATTCTTCTTGTTTGGGACTTTGGGACATGGATTGGATGTGGTTGCTCCAAACCTCACTGGGGGAGGACCCCCTCCCATTGGTGCCAAATTGGTTCAACTTGATAGCCTTGCCAAAGATTTCCTCTTGCAATTTGCTTTTCAAGAAGTTGGACACTTGAGGTTAGTCTTTGCAATTACAATTACTATTAGGGCAAAAAACATAGAAAAGGTTTTTTAATTGTTTTCTTTACTTACAGGGCCATAAAGAGTAAAGTGAAAGAGTTCCCTAGGCCATTGCTGGATCTTAGGGCGTCATCTATTGCCAAACTAATGGATAGAGCGTTTGGGCGAACTCTAAACCCTCCCTTTGATCCATATGCTAATTCCATCAACTTTATTCTTGCAGCTTATGTGATTCCCTATGTTGGCCTCACTGGTTATGTTGGTGCCAATCCACTACTGCAAAAGCCTTCTTCCAGGAAGGTAAATCCCCTTATATACTTAGCTAATCTACAAAACACGTGTATATATATCAATTAATATGTGATTATTTCGACTTAATCTATGATCTCAAGTCTAAAGGTGTAATGACACCATTCATGCATGTACACGATCGAACAGCTTGTTGCGGGGCTTCTTGGAGTAGAGTCCGGGCAAGACGCGGTTATTCGAGCATTGCTGTATGAACGTGAAGCGCAATTGGTGCAACCGTATGGAGTGACGGTGGCAGAGTTCACAAATCGCATTTCAAGGCTCAGGAACAAGCTGGGAAAGGCAGGTGTGAAAGATGAGGGTATCACGGTGCCTAGGGCAGAAGGTGCTGAGGGAAGAGTCATGGGCAACATTCTCGTAGGTGACAAAAATTCACTGTCATATGCGAGGACTCCCAAAGAAATACTTAGGATAGTCTATGGATCTGGTGATGAACATGTTCCTGGTGGCTTCTTCCCTAAAGGAGGAAATGGTCGCATAGCTAAATCTTACTTAAAGTAAATTAGTTGTGCCTAAAGCTATGTATCAAGAATATTAGAGAGCATTCGTTTTGTAAATTACATGTCTCTCGAAACTGTTGTGCATCTATGTCTTCTCTACGTGCGACAGTAAATTATTTGTTATAATAAGATTAATGCTTGCTACTTCTTGATATAATATAATCTTTTCTGGCTTCAATGTTATAATAGATTTGTAGATAAGGACAAGCAAAGGACTTTGCGGCGTCATTGCATTAATTAGGATATCAGATTCATCTTGAATAATAAAATAGAATAAACAACATTTATATAAACTTTCTTTTGTTGGTCTATGGAGTATCTCCACCGATAGCAGTGACTAATCTCCTCGCTACGTTGGAGGCACTTCAAAGGGTAAGATAGCTGGTCCTAATAGATTTAACGCAATTACATACACAAGGCATGATTGGAACTCCTGACCTTGCTTAAAACGTGGATCAACCCCTACCGCTGAACCACACGCTTGGGGTTTACATTTATATAAACTTTAATACAATAAAAATATTTACTATTATTTTTTAAAATAATTCGGTTGACCAAACATATTTTAAATAGAATTTTTTTAAAATATATTACTATAATATTATAAATTGATAAATATAAAATAATTTATCTTTAAATTTATGTCCTTAATTAATAATTTGACTACATAATATATTAAATGATATTGCTAAATCTTATTTACTGATATATAAATGAATTATGATATTTGTCAAATATAATGTATTAATTAAATTTAAATAAAAGTAATTAATAATATATATACAAATGTATTTTAATGATAATTATCATAAAAGATAATAAACTTAAATAATAAACTTAAATTTTATAATATTTTTATACTACTAGTCCATACTCTGTGTGTGAGCATTTAATAATTTATAAAAATGAGTTATTTGATAAATTTAAAGTTTATAAGACAAAGATTGAAAATTAATTAGAAAGGAAAACTAAAATACTTCATTCTGATAGAGAAAGGGAATAGGTCTCTAATAAAATGAGCAGTGGCAGACCTTAGTAATGACAGGCTCTCCCAAACTTTTCTATTTTTTTTATATATTAATATTATATTTATATATTATTATATCACTAATTGTAATAAAACTAAAAAAATTAAGTAAAAAAAAGAAGAGAAATTCTATTATTTTTTTAACTAATAAAAAATTAATTTATAATTTTATA